CCCATTGGAATGAATTTAAATGTCCATTAGCTTATAGATCGTTGAATTTCAGGTAACTATGTCTGCATATACTTTTTCGATTTCAGGAATCTACTATTTCTTTAACTATGTTTGCTTATGTCAATTATATTAAATTTTTTTTTCATAAATACTTGAGATTTTACCATCAATGTGAATACCAAATGACTTTATTCTCAATCATTATGCTACCTGAATATCTCCATTTGCAAATTCCATTTTCTGCCTGATGGACTTAATCACGGTTTGAAGATGCTAAATGTAAGGAGAAATTTTGATCCATGTTTTATGAACAAGGAATATCGTTCTCACCTCTGATAGAGCTGAAAATGAATTTTGTTACGCACCAACAATCTGTGTGATAATTGGTTATCAAGGAAGTGATCGGAAGAATGTTTTTGAAATCAATGATGTCAATTTTGTTAGTTCTTACTGTATAAAGAAGATTGAGGTTCTCTACGGCTATTTTGCCGTGGTTACAAAATTTTGTAAATAGAGTTCTAGTACTTCGAATTGGATGCTTTTTTTATCAAGAGAATAATCTACATATGTTATTGGTTGAAAACAGTTAAAGGAGAACTTATTGATGCATTTTTCTCTTAAACAGCACTTGTTCTCTGTCTCAACTTGCTCCTGTTGAGGCAGTGCTATTTGATGTTGATGGAACTTTGTGCGATACAGATCCCCTCCACTATTGTGCTTTCCGTGAAATGCTTCAGGAGGTGTGACTATTCTTTGTCATTTACATTTATAATTATATTGCCAATCAGATATCGTTATGTATGGAAAAAGTTTCTTTTCTTGTAAAGCGCTTGTTGATTATGTAGCGACAGTAAAAACACCTAACTACTGCTCCACGGGGTTTTTAAAAATGCTGAGCTATTTAACAGATTGGCTTCAATGGTGGCGTCCCAATTGATGAGGAATTCTTTATCAAGAATATTGCTGGAAGGCACAATGATGATATTGCTTCTATTCTTTTCCCTGATGATTATGAAAGGGGTCTAAAAATTTGTGATGACAAGGAAGTTATATTCAGAAGGTGAATTTTATTTTTCTCCTTTATTTTTATGCAATATTTTTCCTTAACCCGCCTTGACAAATATTATTTTGAGTGAAAACTAAAGGTTGGCTAAGGAGCAGTTGAAACCTGTAAATGGTTTGTACAAATTGAAAAAATGGATAGAAGACCGTGGTCTGAAACGAGCTGCTGTTACCAATGCTCCGAGACCAAATGCTGAACAGATGATCTCGACTCTTGGACTGTCAGATTTCTTTCATACTGTAGTTCTTGGAAGTGATTGTGAACATGCTAAACCATTCCCGGACCCCTACTTGAAGGCGCTTGAAATTCTCAATATCTCCAAGAATCACACATTTGTATTTGAGGTTTGAACTCATCCACACTCTTTCAATGTCAGTTGCTATTATTTCAAAAAATTTATATATCTTCTGGTTTTCTAGGATTCTGTTTCGGGAATAAAAGCTGGGGTTGCGGCAGGGATGCCTGTTGTTGGCTTGATGACAGCAAATCCTGCACACTTGCTGATGGGAGCAAAGCCTACTTTTATAATTAAAGATTATGAAGATCCAAAGCTTTGGGCCACTTTGGAAGAGCTTGATAGAATTGGTGGTGTGACAAAAGGTGCAACTTAAACCATACATATATTGCTTATGAACCGGGGAGAATACCCTCTATCAAGTTAAGTTCGGTTTGATGGCTATTTTGTAGGAGAGTTTTCTGATTTATCTCGTTTTGTCATTTTGGACCTCAGTACAAAATTGGCATGATCTAGTGGATCAGTATTGAAATTCTCAAGTCGAATAATAATTTGGGGTTTGTAGTCATGTTATGATTTTTGAGAACTTTTTCCCATCTATAAAATGCAATAACTTTTTATGAACTTGAGTTGGCAGAAAAAACTTCATGGAAACCCTCATGGCTAATTATGTCACACGCCATGGTAAAAACTTGAATGTGTTCGTGTAGATTTTTTGTAGCCTTCTCGCTGAACCTGATGTCTTGATGATTTTGAAAGAGATTTATGACATTTGGTCGAATGTGGAAGTTAGCTTGTCCAAAAGGCGGATAAATGATCCGAGGTTGAATTGGTGCTGGCATTGGATTTATATAATCTTTCAGTGAAGCTTCTCCATGATTTGCTATTGCCCTTGGTTGATCTCGTTAGGGTAATGGTAAAGGATTTTGAACTTAATTCGGATGTTGATTTTTTGTCATTTCTCTCGCTTGTCTCTGTTATCATCTTCGTTGTTTGAAAATTCTTTCGATTTTGGGATCTATTGGTAGAAGCTTGATCTCGTCAGAATTTTGCATAAAATGTGATTTTCTAAAAAGAAAAAAAAAGATATTTAAATCGTTCAATGAATAGCCTAAAACAAATAAAGTAAAGAAAAAAAGGAAAAAAATGCTCTAAATCTAAAAATAACTAATAAACTCAAAATTAAAAAAAAAAAATTATTCCGTGGCAATGGTGCCAAAAATCTGTTCGTGCGAAATTCGTGAGCGTACGAAATTGTTGATGAGTAATAGATTTAGTGAGTTAAGAGTATCGTTCCAGAATGAATAAAATTTAATTGAGTGCACCAGTATTTAATTAGATTCAAAATGATCAAACAAAATTGATTTGAGGTTTTTAATTAATCTAATTTAATTTACGAAAGCGATTAAAATGCGAATTTAATGCGTGTATATATGGGAAGAGTGTATTGGATTACGTATTCACCTACTATTATCTATTCCAATTTTTGATTATATAACTATTTTCATTCATGCATTCTTGACAATCAATAATTCTATTATAATTAATTTTCTTTTTCAAGACAAATTAAATTTATCATAATCACAATCCGAATCTATCCCCAGTTCGAATTCGAATGAATAAAACGCTTGTAATTTCACAATTATTTTAAAGATTGCACATGTGATAAATCTTATTCTTAAAATTTATTGCACATATGTTAATCAAACAGTATTATAAACCTATCGTGATTCTCCCAACACTACAACAAGCAATCATATATTGAATTGGTGATTAAACAATCATATAATAAAATTAAGCATGAAAGATTAATCAAGAATTTAACTAAACTACGTGTCTTGAATTAAAAATAAATAATAAAGGGTTTTAACTTCATCCAATACATGAGAAAATTAGCGTTGTATAATGTTGGAATTAAACGAGGAATGACATCACCAATAATTTGAGGGAATGTGACGAACTCCACAATTTTTCTCAGCTTCTATGCGTATATATATATCAACTCCAACCAGCTTCTTCCAAAAAAGAATTCAATTCTTCTCTCCCAAAAGCTGCGTCTTTTCTACGTATATGACTTGCTCCCGACGGCCTTTTTTGTCTATATATAATAAAGCCCAGCAGCCACCGGCAATTGTGTATTAATTTAGCAACAGGCCACGCAATTGTATGTGTGTGTGATTAAATTCCAACAGCCCTATTTTCGTTTGTTCCCTTCCGCCGGTATTTCAGTGTGTATTTATTATTAGTGCAGCCTCTATCGTATGTGTATCTCCTCCACCCAATTTTTCCGACTGTCGTGTGATGTGTATATATAGGATTATTCTTCTTGTACATTGGGGGTGCCATAAGGGTGTCCCAATGTATGTTGAAATTGTTGTTCGAAAATTCAATGGAAAAACGAAGTGAAATGGAAGTAGAACAAAAGCGAAATGGAAAACCAACCGGATGCCCATTACATGTCCCATGCGACCGCAAGGCACTTTGGCTATGCGGTCGCATGTCCATTACCAGAGAATGGAAGCCCAGTTTCGAGTACTCCATGCGACCGCATGGAGTTATACCATACGGTCGCATGGTAGTTCAGGAGTGATCGTTGGAGGCGGTTATGGTTTGAAATTGACGGCTTTTCAATTATGAATTGACACCACTTTGCATAGCTATTCGCGAAATTATTTTCTTTCGATTTAAAACCACCGCAAGTGTACGGTTCATTAACAAGTAATAAAGTGGATTAAATGAGTCTGAATATCGTCCCACGGAGATTGATTAATTCAAATTTTACCTACCGTAGCCTTAACCGAAACTAAATTACCAAAGTGAATGTAGACCTAATTAAACCCCAATTATGCAATTTTTTATGATTAAATTGAAATTAATATGCAAAACAATAATTTAAAACTCTAGAATGAAATCAATTGTTGAGAACGCACGTTTGTTGTAATCAATAGAAATTAAACACACTAGGATCACGATTTCCCATGCAATTATCACTTTAAACTCTAGTTTCACAATATGACAACATAATTCAATTGTTGACGAATCAATGCTCCTAAGTCTATCCAATACTCTCTCTCGAGATGTATCAAACCTATTTCTACATACCACCGGCCTATATTTCTATGACAAGTGCAAATGTAAAAATGCATATAATTTTATGAACACTTAAAGATTCACGTAGGGCATAGCGGTATATTTCTATCCCCTATCGGACCCTACGATGATTTATATTATGTCAAATCTATTCCAATTCTCTCGAATGCAAGAATAAATCACCCAAACTCACACAATTACGAGCCCTTAATTGCGGAAACAATAAATGCATATAAATCATTCAAAACAAAAGAAATATGTTTTAATGTCAAACTGCAAAACTTAAAAATTAAAGATCCAACTACATGGTGCATCGATCTCCTAGTATAATAAAAATCTAGTCTAGCATAATGGGAAATAAAGAAAAACAATAATTAAAATCAAGGAAGAACATCACCCAATTGATTCTTGAAGTGAAATCTTGAATCTTAAAGTGGATTGCCTTCTTTTTGCCTTGTTCTTCCTCTCCAAATCCTCTATAATTGTGTATATTCCCCCCCCCCCCCTTTATGTTTCAGGGTCTTCTGGTATTTATTGGAGGCGGAATTAGGTCAAGGAAGTCGCCCAAAACCTTACTAAATCGTGTTTGAGTCGAATAAGGAAACCTGAGATTTCGTCACATTTTTATACCATGCGACCGCATGGTATAAAGCCATGCTACCGTATGGTTCAGAAGTTTTAGCCCAGATTTTTCCCTGTACTGCCTTGTGCGACCGCAAGGAATTATAACCATGTGGCCCCATGATTATAAAAAAATTTTCGTTGAATAGTTTTCAGTATTTTGGTCATAACTTTCTCTCCCGATTTCCGATTTAAGTGATTCAAAGTGAATTGGAAAGAAAACTCAAAGATATACACTTTTGATGGAAGTAGGCTTCCTCCAATTCTGATGTTTACTATGCCAAAAATGGATCTCAAGTAGAGACTAAAAATCACCAGCATAACTTTTTCGCCTGAAAGTTGAAACTTGATAATATTTCAACCATATTTCATCTCTTGACTCCTTTCCTCATCCGATTGACCTCTAACACTCTTGAGTCTTCATTCCATTTCCCGTCTCATCTATGGATTATTTGCAACTTAATCCCTGAACTATCACTTTGCTCCATTTTAGTCTTTTTCGGCTCTTTTCTTCTGAATTTCACCATGTTCATCGGTGTTCCCTACAATTCACAAATCTAACGAGATTAAGTCACAATTCAATCATTTTTCTCATTATTAAGTTATGTTTGTGTGACCTAAATAAATGTGAAAAACACACTTATCAATAGCGTTGTTTCATGGCTATATATAGGTGACTTGTGATCATTTCAAGGGTGTGAAAAATCATTACAAACATGAGAAAAACACCTTGTCATCCAAATATTATTCCACATTTAATCAAACACTTGATTTCTCATTCATATTCAATTCTTTCTTGTGTTCTTAAAGTTTTGGAGGATTAAGCTTATACTTTAGTGCTAGATCCTTTACAAGGCTTGATATAATCGTACAAATCGTTTACTAAAATTCTTAAGCATCTCAAACAATCCCGAGAGGAGGCAAATATAGTTTGAGGATAGCGATTACGCGTTCGATCCTTCATATTCGTTGTGTTCTTCATCTTCTTTGTTTCATCTTCTTAATTATATTTTCTGAAATTTTCTTCTCCATTTTCCTCAGTTGATGCAAATATTTCCAACAATCTCAAATTATATTTTTTTGCGATGGAGAATGAAATTACTTTGGCGAGATCAAGTTGATGAAATCCATATCTTGTTTGGATCATTCAATGGGACAAACTCCATGAGAAGGCAAATTCAGATTGAATGTTACTCTAACGGTGTTGAAGAGAATGATGAAAGAATGAAATCTTTCATCATGAGTCTGATTTCGGTATAATCATTCTATCTTCTCAATTCCAATCTGGTAAGTCAGAATTGAGATTTAAATTCGTGAATGCTGTAGAATGAATTTTAATATGTTTATTGCATTTCACATTTGGGTAATTACACAAACTTCTATCGTTAATTCTTGATGAAAATACTTGAAACCGTTGGAATCTATGACTGTGTGTTGTGATAATCTTCATTAATCATATTTGATTCCAAAACCAAAGCATGTTGGCTTTGTCCAGTAATATTATGGTTTGTGTAAAATATTTTGAGGCATCCTTTCCTGTTTATTCATATGTCATCCCAACCACTTTTGTTCTCTCACTAATTATGGGCAACCACCAAACTGATGCACCTATGAAAAGGTGCTCAAATGATGATATAATGCTTGCATGTGGAGATAAGTGCATCGTTGCATATGCATTTTGTCCTTAAGCATGTGCAAATTTCTACTTGCATCTGGTGATATATTACATGAAAATATTTGGAAAAGACAGATTGCATGTGTGACTATAATATATGCATTTTGTTGTGGAGGAATGTATCTTCCCACATTAAATAAAAAAGAAAAACACAGATTATTTATTCCTGAAATGATGTGATTCATTTGGAATTGTGTGGCATGATTTGTGGTTATCTGTCATCATTTATGAACAGGCTCGAGTATGTATATGCCAACCATTGTGTTCATTAATTATGCTAACTGCTTTTGAATGGTCGTATATGTATATTCAATCAAGGACCATGAATTTGAAAAAATACATATGGTTTTAAAGTGGTTTTAATGGTGACTCTTGAATTTTAAATTCAATTTAAACCTGATAGAAAAAAAGGGTTCTATTTGCCAGTTGAGGTTTTATGAACCGCAGAAAAGTAATATCATAATTTGAGTTTTTTATCATATTGCACGCATTTATGGGTTGCATGTTATATAAAAAATTGGATTCCCTATTTATTACTCGTTAGAATTAT